TATGTCTAGAACCTAGCATAGTTGCTAAAACACTAAGATCATATCACAAATATTGACTGGATACTGTGTGATTTAGTGACTTTTTAAGAGAAAAGGATTTGAAGTCATACATGGAACCATTATATAAAACTGAGCCTGCTGCTCACTGCAGAAGAATACATAGGGAAAGACAGAAACTCCACTGGTGCTGGAATTTACTGTGGGATTCTTCAGCAGCCTAACTATAAACTGAGAATCTTTCTAGTAGAGAAGACAGCAAAAAATATATCCTAAGTTTGATGCAACTTTTGCCTCTTATAATCTCAGTAGAAACATCTTTCATGTTATACCTTGGGAAACATAGAACTAAACTGCCTGCCTTACAGAGGTTGGAGGTCACAAGAGGATTGTGTAGATGGAGGGAGAATTGTTACCATTCTTTTTCTGACTAACAGGGCTGTTACTGGTGGTGTCTCTGAAGAGAAATCCCACCTTATTGGCTTGCTGTCAACGATTCTTTAAGCATTTGTATCCGTTATGAAGTCAAAAAGCAGTACAATACTACTCTCAGGGGAAAATGGAGACGTTTTCCCTCTCCTTCAATCATTCCATTCTTGACGTTTCACTGAGTTTTCTGGGGAGGGAATGTGTCTTTCTAATGCAGTAGTACCTGATGGATTGATGCTTTTGTCTCTTGAAACATTTCATAAAACGGTAGTTTCTTTGCCTCCATTTTTTATTGAAAATGGAATCAACCTCCATCCAAACAACAATGAATGTCCCAAGATCAGATCATCACAATCTTTCTGATGGGCAAGAATGGAAATACATCAGGCAGAATCTGTAGACACTACAGTGGGGAAAGCTGGGAAAAGTATTACCCTACAGATTGTAATGTAGTCCTTATAGGTAAAGAGAAAAGACATGTAACAATAAGCATTGCACTACTTAAGACACTTGTATTAACTACAGGACGGAACTCATGAACAAAATTCACGAATGAAATCAGCTACTGACAAACTATTCCTTTATATAATCTCAATTTCCAATATCTATTTGGCATGAATGAAAACTTTCTTTCTTATGTTTACCCCTGATTTATTCCTTGTTATTATCTTACTCTCCTCCGCATCTAGTAAAAGGGGAGTGGCTGACCTGGACAGTGTACTTTCATAACCTTTGCATCATTTTCCTCTCAACAGGGTCAAGTAGCTGCTGATGGGAGTTTGGAAAGTGTGAAATAGGGAGAAGCCTCAGAGTCCCCCCACCCTGTCTCCATCCCTCAAGCGGCAAATTTGGCAGCCATATGTCTTTTCATGGCCTAAGCTGCCCTAGAGAGGCCAGTCATGCTTACAATTATGGCTGGGATAACTCCAGCCCCTAGTTCCAGGGACCCACCTTTGTCTTCACATTGTTCCTTCAGTCTGGGGGATAGCAGCTTCCTACAGTCCCTCATCTCTGGGCTGTTCACCGTCTCACCTCCAGCATTTCCGTTTATCACATTCCTTCTATTTCCTTTCTACTGGTTGAACAGTTACTAATAAACTTCATTCCCTGTGATCCATTGTTAAGAGAATTGGTGAATATGCATTTAAAAAAGCTGAGGTGGCTGTTTCATTGTTTACAATAAAGTGTGATGCAATAAATGTTGTGAACCCTGATTTTGAAACCGGAGTCTTCTTGTGAAATCGAGGCCTGCCAAGCTGGCTAAGGTCACAACTCTGTCAGCTTAGCTGCAGAAAGTTCCCCATTCATGCTGAGTTCTTTGACTCGTGAGTACAATGAATGCAATTCATGGACAATGAAGAGTGAGAGTCTAGACAAGAAGTCTATTAGAAGAAAGGATGAACCTCCCACATGAGGCTGGGAGGGGTCCCAAGGTGGCTGCAACTAAATTTTGGCTCTGGGTTTTTTTTTTCTTGTTTGCTCCTGGGAGTAGCCCATTTTGTATGATAATTAGTTGTGCATTCTGGTTTGCCATGCTCACAACCTTCTGACCATACAGTGGTCTCACATGTTCTAATTTAGGTCCTTCCTGCCTCTCCCTTTTCCCGTCCATCTGAGCTCTGGGCGGGGGAGGGTTACTAGGGAAGTAGATGGTTAAGGTGGATGGTGTCATCTCTTCCATTTGTTGGCAGCTCACTTATCATGGAAGTTTCCTGGGGGCCCTTGCTCCTAACTACACCTGCCTGACTTCAGCCAGCTGCCTAGCCTGCTCTCTCAATTTCATGGTCTTTTCTACCTCTTGCCTCTGCATATCTCCTAGTGGTACTTGAAGAGACATTCAACTTAAGGACATGACCAAGCGTTAATTCAATAATGTATGGAGCTTTTTCATCTTTTTTCCCCAGAAAGCTCTACACAGCAACCAGTTTAACCTGGGACATCTAAAAAGCACATAAATATGGCACATGTTTCTGACTAAGCAGTATGAAAATCATGTTTAGATATTGATGGTATCATCCAATCTGATACTTCATATATGCAACCAAAACGGAACTCTAAAATGACATGCACCAAATGTGTGATCCTTCTGGTTGCTTAGCTAAGGCTGAGGCAAGCAGGGCCCACCTGCAGACCAAGTAAAGCCACAGTACAGGAGGAGACTAGCTAGGCACCAAACTAATTACTGGGCCTTTGGGTGAACCAATCACTGTATTCTGAAAGCTGACTCTGGGCCCTTGGATTCTAAATAGAACCAAATATGATATTTAAAGTTGTAAACATGAGAAATGACACTACTCGACACTGGCTTGACAAACCTCAGGAAAAAGACTTTCCTTATCCCTTTGGTTCACTATTGACCATTTGTTCTGTCTGTCCCTTTGGTCTTCTTCTGTAAGTTCTGGGTAAACCCCCTCTGTGCTTTCAGGTGAAGTCTATTGTAATGGTATTTTCTTCTTCAATAAGCTGCCTCTTCATTTGGGAGCATGCAGGAAGGTTGAAAAATTTAAAACAACAGAACCTAAGCCCATAAACCACATGGGAAAATTAATTGCAATGCCTTTGTCCATTTGTATAACATAGATGAGGGTGGATCTACTTAACCCTAGAAGTGTTTTTAAAAGGGACGTTAGCTATCCAGCACTTTAGTGAGTTATAATTAATTTCTTCAGCAGTCTTGAACATTTACCGAACAATATAAAAGTGTTTTACTACCCACAGCAGACATTGCCAGTGCCCATAGTTTCTCACTGGTGCCATTTCAGTGGACATGCTCCTGAAATCTTCCTTTCTTGTGGGTTTCTTCTTGGGATCCACTTTCACTACATTTTGCCACTCCACAGACAGCAAAGAATTCATAGACCTCAGAGCACTCCTCAAGGAAGAACAGTTCTTTCTTTAGGTGGCACAGATTTGAGGAATCATTAAACAGTCCCCAGGAAGATAAGCTTGGTTGCCAATGGAGAACTTTGCCTTGATCACTCACCACTCCTTTCTCAGTGTTCCCTCAACCAAATTATTTGTTGTAGGAGCTGCTTCTAGAGGAACCCAGACTGAGAAAAAAAATCTAATTATTTCTCTGTCCTCTGGAGAATGTGGGCCAACAGAGAAAAAGCAAATCACCTTCATGTAAATTTCCTAGAGGAGAACCAAGTGTATAGATGCTCCTCCAAACAAAGCTACAGAGGTTAATGAAGAAAACAATTGCAGCAAACACCTTGCTGTGTCCGGCTTTCTCATGTTTTAGGCATGTCTGGTGTATCTAATCAGGGCCGCCTTTGGAAAACAACATAAAAAAATCCCCACAGTGAAAATTAAGATGATAGAGCTTCCAGAAATTCAGGCCATGGCAACCCCACCACTGACTATGCTAACTTACTAACCGGCTTTGCTTCCTCATTTCTTAATTTGCCATTTAGATGCTAGTGAATTATTAAAAGATCATATCCTTTCTCAGCCATTATTATGATGCTATCTTTGTTCCTCTGACTATAGAGAAGTAAAAACAAAATTAGATGCAAATTAGTGCCAATTTGGCTTACTTTTTACAATCGTAAGCAGTGAACTGTGAATGGTGGTGATAAAAGTGTATTTATTCATTTTGACTCATGCCATCACATTGTTGTTTCCGGGGTAAATATTTTACCTTTCTGAATAGGGGTTTATGGCTAGTTTTAACAGACTTTACACAGGTATACTCACCTCCAAAACTAGGGGTGTGTATATCAAGATGATACTTAGTGTCTAAGCTTTTCCTTGCTTATAGTCTTTTCCACCTTCAGAGAACATTATCTAACACAAAAAGCCATTATTTCCTCTGGAGAGTTACTCTTCTCTTGTAATTAGATTACAAATTAAGGCAAATGAAATGAAACAAAATGTTGGTTTATTGAAAGAAATGGTAACTAGTATTCAAAGAGATTGAACAACCCAAAGTAAAGCACACCCACAGCGGGCATACATTGACAACCCTTTGAATGTCAACTTAAGCATTGATAATGAAAATTATGACTGAAAAGTAGGCACAGTGTCTGTGGGGTACTTGTGGGAGGGTGAAGGAAAGTTAAGGGGAAGGTGTATGGTTGATAGACTTCAAATACCTATATGAAACAGAACTAAATAACCCCTTGCAATTGCTTAAAGTGGGGTGGGGAGGGGGCTGAGAGGGAGAGACGATGGGGGCAATGTAAATAATGTACAATATAAGTCTAATCAGAATTGTTATTATGAATCTCCCCCATATAATGAACATAACCTAATAAAAATTTATAATAATAATGAATGGTAAATAATATCTTTCAATTGCTTTCAGCAAAAAATAAGCAAGATTTGAATTATTGGTTGTAAAGAAAAGATGGTACATTGGTGAGTCTCCAGTTGGCTGTTCATTGTCTAAAGTTGTCATTGGTCCAAGAGAAAAACTAAATCATTTCTACCATGAACTTTTAAGACAGATCCCATCACACTATAAACAAATCAAAGACAAAAGGGACACTATTATGGGAGAAAAAAAGAGCCAACCAAGGAATTTGAAAGGCATTTAGCCATTCTGCTGCCTTTATTAATGTTTTCATACACTCAGTAATATAAAGGAAGCAAAAGAACAGAATCTGGGGAAAAATAAGAAAACAGGTTTGATTTATGTACAAAGAGGAATGACAAAGCTTCCACTGTCACAAAGAAACTCACATTGCTAACTTTAATTTAAGGAGTTACTTAAGCATGGCCTTGTGGAAATTTAATAGTTATGGTTCATCTGAACTTATCAGTTGGCCCCAAGCTGCGATAATCAACTTTTCAATGTCAGACTCATTTACTCCTCGAAGAATCCGAAAATAGCCATTCTCCCCCCACGACTTTCCCCAGGAATTGGCAGCAATCTGCAAGAAAAATGAGAACAGTAATGTTGAGTAGCTACTTTGGTATTTTTTAATCCCATCTATAAAAACTGAGAAAACTCACACATAGCTTTAATCCCCTTTAATTTACAGATGACGATCAGTGAGAACCCAAATATTTTCTAAATAATAATCAAGCAGTTTTATAATTTATATCAATATGTATGTCTGTATGTTGGTAAAAGCCAGAATTGGTGTGACTTAACATGTGCACGAGAGTTTGAAATGCTACATGAGAAGATGACACACATACAACAAGGGGATTGGACTTTGAGCACATGATAAAAGCGAGAGCACACAAGGGAGGGTGAGGATAGATAGGACACCTAAAAAATTAGCTAGCATTTGTTGCCCTCAATGCAGAGAAACTAAAGCAGATACCTTAAAAGCAACTGAGGCCAATAGGAAAAGGGGACCAGGAACTAGAGAAAAGGTTAGATCAAAAAGAATTAACCTAGAAGGTAACACCCACGCACAGGAAATCAATGTGAGTCAACGCCCTGTATAGCTATCCTTACCTCAACCAGCAAAAACACTTATTCCTTCCTATTATTGCTTATAGTGTCTCTTCAACAAAATTAGAGATAAGGGCAAAATAGTTTCTGCTGGGTATTGAGGGGGTGGGGGGTAGAGGGAGGGGGCGGAGTGGGTGGTAAGGGAGGGGGTGGGGGCGGGGGGAGAAATGACCCAAGCCTTGTATGCACATATGAATAATTAAAAAAAAAAAAAGATGACACACAAACTGTAGTTACAGAAATCCATGTGGCCAAACCCCTGCTAGGCACTAGAAGACCAAAGATACAAAATCTATTATTCTGTGTTCAGGAAAATTCTGATCTAAAGAAGAATGGCCAATATAAGGCAAGGTGCTAAGGTAGAAATATGCATAGGGTGATACTGAAATCTGCATAAGTGCATCTTTTTTATTTGGATGTTTCAGGAAGATGCTTGAGACTTGCCACATAAGAGGAATACTAGAACCTCAGCGTTTTAAAAGGGAGAAAGGAAGATTCTGGTAAAGAGAAATGGAAAATCATAAACACAAAAGCACGAAGCAGCATATTGAAATAATGAAATGGTCAGGATGACATCATTGCAATTCTGTTGGTAGGTCACAGGCTGAAATAGGAGGTTAGGTCATTGACACTGAGAAAATGATGGTGAAGAGGGTGACAAGCCATTGAGCTGCTTCCAGCAAAAGAACAAGATGGGAAAATTTATATTTTGATTACATTGTCCCTCATGTAGACAGATTTAAGAGCACAGAGGCAAGAGGCAGGGAGACTGACTAGTTGTTAGACCTTTTGTGGTTGCTGTTTTCAGATTTCTGAGACAGCTCCAACTGACCTCAAGGTCAGGATTCTCCTGCCTCTACCTGCCATGTGGTGGGAATCTAAGCACCTGCCACCAAGCCCTGCTGCTAGCTGATTCTTGTAATAATTCAGTCAGATAACCTAACTGGGACAAGGGAAGTAGAGAAAGTATTTGAGCAATCTTCAGAAAGTAGAATCAACAGAATTGGAATTTTTTGTATTATTCTTTTTCTTTGGAAATTATGGAGATAATTAGAAAGTTGGGATAAGTCCAGAATGACACCTGGATCTACAGCTTTACATGGTGAAGCAGAAACGTATGTCATGAGGGCTAAAAGAACACAGAGAGAAAGAGTTAGTTGACCACAACCAAGTGCAGCAGACAAGCTCTGTAAACTAAGGACCTCACAACAACAGCTGGGCCCTTGGCTCACATTCTCCCTGTGCCTGCAGCTGAGATGAAAAGTATGTTAGTGTGATCTACAGTGATATTCTCAAGACATATGGTGTGCCATTGAGCTTTCACTGCCCCTACAATGTAAGACAGAGCAGAGCTGCTCTGCTTCAGAAATCATGGTGACAACATCAGCTTTGAGAAATAGCTGGTCATCATAAGTAACTCTTTTTAAGATTTGGCTCTTTGCCTCCCCAATCAGCCCTGACACCTTAAAGGAGCACTCTCAAAGATGAGTCTAATTGTGAATTCAGTTTACCACTTCAAAGATGGAGTGGACTTTGCAAGCTGGAAATGAGAATTCATCAAAGAGAATTTTAGCAAGAATGATCTTAACTATTTTTTCTAATTTTTTTCATGTCTTCTAGTCAGTTCCAACACACATACACATATGTATGGATATATATTTATATATGGGGATATCCACTTAGATATCTACCTATATCTATATATAGCTAGGTAGATAGATAGACAGATGATGGATAGATAGATAGCTAGATAGATGATAGATAGAAAGATAGATAGATAGATAGACAGAAATTTATACAGGAATATCCAGAGGACAGAAGGTCAAATAAAATCGGTCACAAGCTAACGTAATTTTAGGAATGCTAATATTTTTAAATTCTTAAAACCATGGAATGTAGACTATACCTAGTCTCAGTTGGCTATCTGAAGATTATTACCATTCACAATTTCATCACTAGTTAGTTATTTGGTGAATCTAGGAAGGGTATGTGAAGAGTTTTTTAAGCAAGTGAAAATTCACATACTAATGAAAGCTAACCATACATTTGCAAGAAGGCAACTGAATTATGAAGAGTGTGATTTTGTAAATTAGCACTGACAAAAGGCACCTCAGGGTTTGTGTTTTGTTCATCTTATCCTTGCTGCTCTCATTTCTTCTGTTTCCTGACACTTTTGTTTGTTTCTTTCAAATGCCTAAATTTGTTTGTATTTTTATGAAAACTTTTGCATTGAGGTTTGCAATTTAGTCACATGTGTAAAGTGCTTAATCTTGTGTATGGTTAATGAAGTTGATGCCTGGGTGACCTCCACATAGATCAAGGCACACGACACTTGCAGCCTTCTTTTGTGAAAAATAAATCCCATGTCAGTTTTTATAATTACCACAAAAATCCAGTATATATTTATATATTATGAACAAAGATGTCACCAATCATCTAGAGAAAAAACTATGAATAGAAGTAACAGATACTTGTGATGTAGACTTTAAAAAATTATGAAAATATTAAGAAAAATTGGTATAAAAAAGTAGTCCCTCACTCTCCACTGTCTTCTCTCCAACCAGTTCTTCCTGTAATTGAGCTTTATAACAACAAAATGACGCAATATGTACTGTTTTATGCCTGACTCATTTAATTCAAAATAGTCTCTGAGATTCAGTCATGTTTTGTCACATATAACTAATTCATTTATTTAATTGTTGTGTATTTTCATTAACAGCTGTTGTCCTGTTGATAGAAAATAAAGATAACTCATTGTACCCCAGCCATATTAATCTGTAGTTTGAGAGATTTGCTTATGCTATATCCTTACTCACACTTGATATTAGCAGTCTTTTTAATTTACCAAATTAGTGTATGTGTAATGATATCTCTTTGTGGTTTTAATTTATACTTTCCTGATGACTAATAATATTTGGATTTCCTCTTTGCTGAAGTGCCTATTCAGGAATTTTGTCTAATATTTTAAGGAGTTATATAATTTCTATATTTTTGTACAAATTTCTGTATATTCTATATGTGAGTTGTTGCCAGATATCTTTACAGATAGAGAGAGGAAAAAGAGAGAGAGAGAGAGAGAGACTTATATGTAATTATTGATCAACTTTGAGACAATCAAAATGTTAATTTGTAAACTATGCACATGGTGTCTTTCTCCTTCTAGCTAAATGAGCTCTTCTCTAATTCCTCTCAACACTGTAAAAATCTCACATAACTTTCATTGAAATACTTCCTAGGCTTTTAAATAGTTATGTCATTGTGGTAATACTTGTTTTAAATTAATTTCCAGTTGTTATTCACTGCTATATGTGTATATATATATATATATAATTCATATTTAGAATTTATTTTTATATATTCATCTAGCACCCAGAATCCTTGTAAAATATGCTTTTATTTCTAATAGTTGTTCCTAGACTACTTTTGGGTTTTGTATATACAAAATCATATTTTGTGCAAATAAATCAGTTGCTTTTTTTTTAACCTAACTTTCCCTTATTTCTTTTTGTTGCTTAACTGCACTAGGTGGGACACAGTGAGAAGTTGATGGAGGGGTAACAGAGTTTCATGCTTCCTTTTCGATGATAAAAGAAAACTTTTAGTAATTTATAATTAATTATGGTGTTACCAGTAAAGTTTTTGAAAACAGACATCATAAGACTATGGAAGGTCTGTTCTCTTTCTAATTTGCTGACATTTTAGGTCATAAGTGCATTCTGTAGAAAGTAGAGTTTTAAGATGTCCCCCAGATTCCTATTTCTGGTGTGCATGATTTGTCTGATCCCCTCCCCCTGGGTGTGTATGTGACCTGAATAAGAGACGGGATGTCATTGTTTGATTAGGCTATATTATATGCAAAGTTGAAGAGATTTTGAATATGTACTTCAAATATTCAGTCAATAGATTATACAGTAATCAAAAGAAGATGGTTCTGCTATGGCCTGCCCTAATCAGGCAATCCCTTGAAAAGAGACAGAAAAGTCAGAAATTATGGTTTTCCTAATGGTGCTGAAGTTAATAAGCTGCTGTAATATCAGAGGCTCTGTGAGAAGCTGCACAGATAGGAGAGGAGTCCCAGCCATTAAGCCACTGTATTCTACCAACAACCATGTGAACTTGGAAGAGGACCTAAGCTCCAGAAAGAAATATAATACTGCAGGTATGGTAGTACACTCCAATAATCCCAGCACTCAGGTAGCAGAGGCAGAGGACCTCAAGTTCAAGGGCAGCCTGCATTACTCAGTGAGACCTTATCTTTAGAAGAAAGGAAGGAAGAAAGGAAGGGAGTAAGGGAGGGAGGGAGGGAAGGAAGGAAGGAAGGAAGGAAGGAAGGAAGGAAGGAAGGAAGGAAGGGAAGGCCAGTCAACAACTGATTTTATCCCACTGGGCTCCTGACCCTCAAAACTCTAGGAAAGTAAATGTGTATTAGCTTAAGGTGCTAAATCTGTGACCATTTCTTGCAGAACA